TTGACGTTATTACTTGATCGTCTTTTAATTTCCATTTTTTATATAAATTAGTTTGAACATTTATTTATGGAGTATTATATATATCATCTATTCCTATTTTTGCAATATAGAATGATAACCAAATAAAGAAAGGAAAATCAAATTTTCTAATTTCTAGTTCATTTTTTCATTCTAATATTAATTTTTCTTTGCATTTAGAAGATAATTGAGAAAACCAAATTCTTTTTCCTGTATTTTATTCAGTATCAAAATCTTCTTGTAAATATTTATGATTTATTTTATATTCTTTAATTATTACACTAATTTCTCCTTTCATCTGAGAGTGTGTTGGAGAATAATCTGATTGATTTTGATTAATTACCTCTGGAACAGGAGTTTTAAATTTGAATGTTGAAGTACTTTCTACAGGAAAATTTGTATCAATTAATTCATAACTAGATCTTCTAGCTGGTATCCAAGAATGGCTTGAAGTGGAAGGTCTTTCTCTAAATGAAGAAAATCTTAGTAAAACTTTTCCATCAAATTCTTCTATAATATCTTTCGGATTTGTTTGTTCTATACTTCTTGGTGCTTGTGGATTTTGAATTATAAATTCACTAGGTATAGTAATTTCATTCCATTTTAATCTTTTTGGAGTATAAGTAGTAGGTCTATCAGTATCAACTTGTAATAATGTTGTTTCTTCTTTTAAAGTGGGAGTCATTATAAATTTTGGATTTAATTGTGAAGATAAAGGTCTATAATACATTCTATAAATTACAGCAAAATTCTTTGTATGTTTTTCAAATTCGTCACCTTGTAAATGAATATCCAATATTACTGAATTCAAAACTTGTGGATCTGTTAAATCTACGGAAAAATTTGGAGCACAGTTAAAATAAATTGGTCCATTACATACATTTGTTTAAATCATAGATAAAAGTGAAGTTTTATATCTTTTGAGTCTAGTATCTCTTAAAGTTAGATATATAGGTGCATCTACTCCTAAATAAAATAAGGGTTTAATCGTAACTTGAATTAAACCTATATGAATATATCTATATCCTTTACTAAGATACTTTTGAATTGTATTATGATTCAATAATGGAATAGTTTGATATTCTTCTTGAATAGAAGTAGTCTCTTCATGAGTTTTAACAGATAAAGTTGTTTTGAAATCTAAAGGGCCTATTCTATAAATATGTTCTATCTTTTCTTCTGGAATAGTCCAATCTGAATTATTTACGGGCATATAATATTCATGACTCTGTACTATATTAGCTTGTTTTGAACTAGATCATAATTTTAATTGTCTAAGAAATGCAGCCATGTTTAATATCCTATTTAAAATTTTTATCTTATCAGGAACAACTGAGTCTATGCGTGGAACATCCTATTGTGGACTTACCAACCGTCTTATAAAACTTCAATGTTTTACCAATGATTAAGATAAAATTTTAAATCAGATAAGTAAACATAAAAGCATGAATTAGAAAATTAAAACAAGATATCTTTAAAAACAATTTATAATTAGGGAATGGCTCTGATACCAGAACCAACCCAGGTATGGTAAAATATAAGCATATAAAACTTACAGGTAATCAAAGTAGCCTTTGAAACGGAAGCCTTTAAGATGAAATCAAATTTCGAATCTTTATTGAAAGGTTGAATAGAAGTGCGTACACAGAAATTTAAAAACTTACAAAGGAGAGGTTTACAGAGAGATTTTTAGGATGGCTAAAAAACTCGATGCCCTTTCCTCTCATTTTGAATCCTATTTATTGAGACTTCTATCTTTGAATTTTATTTGCATTTCCATGCCGACACTTTCATTTGAATTTCGTTTTAGTTGTCGACACCTTATCTTGCTGCCAACACCTTATCTTCTCATGATTGGTTCTTTTGAGATTCTTATCTTATCTTGAAATTGGCATCTTTGAAATTGGCCGATAACTTTATCAAAAGTCCGTGGTCTTGAGCACAGGGACCACCAAATGGATCAAAAGTTGATTCTGATGACGATCCAGCTGACTCATTTTTTTATCTTCTTCTTTTTTGTCTTGACTTTGCAAATAATTTAGGTATTCTTTGAGCATTTCTGGATTTTGCATCATCTTCTTCATTAAGAAATCATTTGCCGTAGTTTCTGATGTTGAGCAACTTTTCTCCTTTTCCTTCTTCTGTGGAGTAGTTGGGAAATTAACTCCTTTGGTAGATTGCTGATTTGGATTTATCCATTTGAGCTTTTCTCCCGTCTCTAGGAATCTTAATACATTCTTTTGGTCACAAAATTGTTGATTGAATCCTATCCACCATTTGATTTTGAATTCTCGGACTAATGACATTGGAAGTGGTTTTTCCCATTCTTGATGAACTTTGAAACTCCAGCAAAAAATCCATTGTACTTTAAATTCCATGTGGAATAGTATTGGCCTTGTATATTCTTCTCCCCCTGCATTTTTGAGATGTTTGAAATCCCATGAGGACGTTTGGAAGTAAAATTTCTATTTGAGAACCAAACCATTTCCACCAATGGTTGAACCAAATTGGGAATTCTCTACTGCAACTTTTTTTGAATGTGAAGAACCATGAATGATTGAATGGTCTATACAAAAAAGCATGATACCACACCATTTTGTAATCTTGATAAGTAAATCCATCTAGAATGAATCTGACTGAGAAAGATTTCTTTGAATAAAGAGAAGTCCATTCATTAGGAGAACAAAATTTCTTTATAATGCATTTTGAATGGCTGATGATTTCTGGATTCTTTTTATCTGGAATAGGGAAAATCTCAACAGATTGAGTATCAGTGAGAATTAATTCATAATAATCTAGATTTTTTGATGGATCATCTGGTTGCCAGAAACATTTTGGAGGAAAAGTCTTTGAGTAAAAGAGTTAAGTGCATTGTAAAGAGGCACCTTTTGGAATCTAGTTAAAGTAATATGTCGAGTAATAGGTTTGGTAAAATATGGATTTTCATTGGTTTTTTCTGGGGTTCTTGGAATTTGTTGAATGGGTCTTATTTGAGAAGAAGTTGGAGTACGAGCAGCTTGACTATAAGTCAATGCTGAAAAATCTTGCAATAATTGAAATCTATTTTGAGTTACAAGAGTAAGACTCATCTCATAGTCTTGAGGAGTCTTGGGTCGAGAACTTCCTGCTTTTGAATCCATGATCCTGTAAAATTAACATCAAGAAATAATTTTGTTGAGTTTCTCTTGAAGCTGTTTAATTTGTTGGTCATAATATTGAATCTCTTCCTGAGGATGACCGGCTTTTCTGAGGACATCTTTGAAAATAATATTGGAATTAATTTGTCTTTTGAGAAGAAAGGCTTTTTCTTTTGGAGTCTGGACAGACCAAAAACTAGGTCTAATATAAACTGGGGAATGATTTTGAATTTGATGATGAGGAATAAGCTGGATTTCTCCTTGTGGATTTTTAATATAGTAAGTATGATATCTATGGGAAATTTTTTATCTTTTCTTTGAAGAATAGGATCGTCCCTTTCTTTTCTCAACCTGCGAATGTATTCTTTGTGAGTTTCACGTTCCATTTCCTTGTAAAAATTCTCTTGTCAAAAAGTCAGGAAGAGAATTAATTTCTCCTTTGACAAATTCTATTTCAAAATCAAATACTGATAAAAAATTTTGCTTTGAAACTATATTTTGAATATCTTTTTGTAAAACTTCTTTTGCTGATTTACAATCTATTCTTAATAAAAAATTTTTATTGCACAAATCATCTTGAAATTTTGATATACATAATACTATAGACAAAATTTCCTTTTTAATAGTTGAATAATTTTTTTGGGGATCAGACCATGTTCCTGAATGAAATCTAACTAATTCTTCTTTTAGATCTTCTAGTCTTTGTTTTAGTATTCCTCCGTATCCTAATTCTGATGCATTTGTTTCTACTATCATAAAAGCTTTAGGATGAGAAAGACATAAACATGGTAATGATTCAATTTTTTCTTTAAGATATCTAATTTTTTGAGTATGTTCTTCTGTCCATGGTTTTGGATTTTTCTTTAATCTATTAAACAATATCGAGCATTCTTGTCTTAATTTAGGAAAGAAGTCTGCAATATAATTTAAGCATTCTAAAAATCTTTGCAATTGATTTTTCTCTTTTATTTCATCTGGAAATTTATTTGCAAATTCTAAAGCTCTATTTATCGGTTTTATTGTTCCTTTATCTATGTCATGTCCTAAAAATCTGATTTTAGCTTGAAATAATTTCATTTTAGATGATGATAGAACTAATCCATTTTTCTTTATTATTTTTAAAAATATATTTAAATGTTTAAAATGTTGTTCTAATGATTCTGAAAATATTAATACATCATCTATATAAACTATGCTGAATGAACTATAGGGATTGAATATATCATTCATTATATTTTGAAATTCTGAGGGTGCATTTTTTAATCCAAATGGCATTACTTTCCATTCATAGTGACCAAAAGGTGTTGTGAATGCTGTTTTATATCTATCTTCAGGGGCTATTATAATTTGCCAATATCCTGATTTTAAATCAAATTTTGAGAATATTTTTGCATTATATAACCTATTTAATAAATCCCTTTTATTTGGAATTGGGTATCTAATCCATTGTAAAATTTTATTTAATGGTTTATAATTAATAACTAATCTTGGAACTCCTCTTTCTTTTTCAGCTTGATTCATAACATAAAAAGCTGCGCAACTCCAAGGTGATTTTGATGGGGTTATTAATCCTTTGTCCATTAATGTTTTTATTTCTTTCTTACAAAATTCTAATAATTCAGCATTCATTTGTATAGGTCTAGCTTTTGTTGGAATATTTTTCTCATTAAAATCTTTTTCATAAGGTAATTTTATTATATGTTGTTTTCTATCCCAAAAAGAATTCGGAATGTCAGCACAAACCTCTCTTTTTATTAATTCTTCTAATTCTAAAATTCTTTTTTGCATTTTTATTTCTTTTAGTTGTTCTTCACTTTTTAAATAAGATTTTTTCTTTTATGTAATTTATATGTTATTATCTTTCCAATAAGGAAGATCAAAGAAAATGCTCAACTTTTTCCAACTGAATGGCAATGTTGGATTATCATCAACTAATTTTCCAAATCTGATTTGAAAATTTTTCAATTCAGATAAAATTGTAGACCCCATCAATTTTTCAGGAGCTCTCCCATGTTCTTCCTTTCCATTAAAAGCTCGAGAATTCTTCCTAAAAGTATGAGCCGGATCCAAAAATTTTCTATGGCCCATATAACAATCCTTATGCCTTAACCGTTGTGAAGTTGTGTGTTTATGACAAACAGGGCATGCATATTTTCCTTTAGTACTCCAACCGGATAAAACTGCATAGCCAGGAAAATCACTGATAGTCCATAATAATGCTACTCTTAATTGAAAGTTTTGTTTGCAAGATGCATCATATGTATTGATCCCCATCTCCCACAATTCTTTCAATTCTTTGATTAGAGGTTGTAAATATACATCAATATCATTACCAGGAGCATGTGGACCTGGTATCAACAATGACAACATTAAATATGGCTGTTTCATACACATCCAAGGCGGTAAATTATAAGGTATCAAAATCACCAGCCATGTACTATGAGTAGAGCTCATACTTTTGAATGGATTAAATCCATCGGAAGCCAATCCCAACCTAACATTACGAGAATCCTTAGAAAAATTTGTATGCTGATAATCGAAAGTTTTCCAAGCTGGGGAATCAGCAGGGTGCCTCATATAACCATCCTTAGTACGACCCTCCGAGTGCCATCTCATATGCTTTGCAGTTTTAGATGACATAAATAAACGTTGCAACCTGGGTTTTAGTGGAAAATGCCATAAAACCTTACGTGCGACTTTTCTTTTCTCACCGGATGGATCATTTTCTGATGCTTCCCATCTAAGTTCTTTGCATGTTTCACAACAAGTTCTTTTTGCATTTACCCCCCAATACAAAGTGCAATCATTAGGACAAGCATCATACTTTTCATATCCAAGTCCTAATTCTTTCATTAATTTTTCAGACTCATAGTAAGATTTAGGCAATTTTTCCATGGCTTCAAGAAATGCTTCTCTTAACAAATCAGGAAGCATATCAAAGATTTTGTTACTCCATTTACCCAGACACTTCAAGTGAAGCAAGCGAATTATGAACGAAATCTTGGAAAAATTTTTACAACCAGGGTAGAGTTCTTGTTGAGAATCATCAATTAACTTATAAAACTTTTCAGCAACTGAATTCGGTAGTTCCTGATTAGATTCAAATGTACCAGCCATAGCAGGATCTTGTTGAGGTATTCCTAAGGCTTCATGAACTAGACCATTCATGTCATCACCTATATCAGATACGTTATGAGGAACATTGTCTGAGGTCTGTATCGGTGCAGAAGAGTATACAAATTCCCCATGAGCTACCCACTGTGTGTATCCCTTAAGAAATCCAAATACCTTCAAATGAATTTTTGCATCTGCCCTAGACACACATACTCCACATTTACATTCTGAACATGGACAAGCAATCATTCCATTCCCATGACTTGAATGCTTAAATGCATAGTTTAAGAATAATTCCAAACCCTTTTCAAATTCACCACTTCTTCTATCTTTCCACATCCAACTCTTATCCATATTATTAGAGTTGTCAAATATTTACTCATCAAACAACATAAAGGAGTGTTAATGAGTGAGTACCTGAAATAATGCATTTTATATGAGATAACAGCTAAAATAACCAATAATTTTGTAATTTATTGCAAGATAGATTAAATTAGACTTAAATACTCAATTTCATATCAGCAAACCTTTGTAATGTATGAACACTTTTAATAGCAAAATTCAAATAATAAATTACCAACTGCTATATTCAAAAGCAAATTAGAACAAGACTAATCAGGCATGTGAACGTATAAAATTAGACCAATAAAGGAATGTACCTGCTCAAGAGTGCCAAAGTCTAGCACCTTTCGTCCGTCAAATACTTACCAGCAAATATAAACCTGTCCAAAATAAAGTAAAAGCAACTACCTTGAGTAAATTTTAAAACAGGACCTATTGCATTTTTACACCAATTGCTTAAGCTTTCAACAAATTATAATAGAGGTCTTAATTACGGTTTAGAAAAGAGGAAAATAGAAAGAAATTGAAAAAAGTAAAAGAAAATACTAGCACTTACTTCTCCCCGTTCTCCTTTAGGATTCTTTAGATTGATTAATCCATTTCTTAGGTCGATTTAATCAAACAAATACAGAATTAAAAAAATTCATTGCATCTGTTGCCTTGGCTATTATTTCATATGTTTAACGGTGTTGCAACTAGGCAAAACATTGAACTTCCGTGGCATCCAAGTCCTAAGAGAAGTGACAATCTGAGCATATAAGATTTTATATAGATATTTCATTATATGTCAAAGTGCCACATGTTAATGGCAAATGACAAAATCTCACAGCTCATATTTTATTTCCACAGCAAGTTTATGCTGAAATAATAGTAAAACGCTCTCTCCCAAATTGCATTTAAACTTGAAAAGGGCAATTTTAACATTTTGTTTAAAAAGAACTCTGGAATAAATAAATGAGTCGTGGAATGACATGAGACTGAAATTCCAGGAACCCGCATTTGCATGAGAAAAAAGAAATCCCAATAAAAATAAAGTCAAATATAACACAACATCCAAATAATCAAATACCACTCCACTGACTAATTATTTATATGGTATTGATTTAATTGCCAGCACTTCTTAAATATGGCAAAAGCAAAAGAAAAGAAAATGAAGGCAAAATTTTATTTATGGCGCCCACTTCTTATATATTTGCTCAAGAAATATATTCGCTCATTGATCTGACAGATTAGAAAATGGGCGTAGATTTTCTTTAAGTGCCTAGAAGGTCTTGATCTGATGACTAATGTTAAAGACTCAAAGAATTAGAGATTCTGAGATCAAATCTTTCTTCTTCTTCCCTATTTCATAAATCCCATAACTTTCCTACTAAAAAATAAATAAAGATGTCCACTCTTATACACTTTGGTCAAGAAATACCGAGTTTTTGTGAAGTCAAGTCTGATTGCAACAGAATTCTTTTTTTTTTTTGTATTTGTTTCTTTCATAAAAAAAAAGAATAGAATAGAATATACTGGCTGTCATTCCAAAATTATAATTTTAAAAAGTTGACTGGTTTTTAGTTCAAAAGTATACGTATTTTGCTTTAGAAATATGTGTAAAATATACAAAGATCCCAACCCTGAAACCGCTGTGTAAGAGCTATCTTCACAGCAAAACAAAGGACCACAAGTAACTTGTCTGCTTGTTTTTTTTTTCCAAAAAGAACGGATGGCTTTTGTTTCATCCATCCATCCATCCATTCATCAAACTCAGTGGAGTGTTATTTGCCATATCTTTTTTTTTTTAATTTTAATCCCAGCGCATTACATTCTAAAATCTTTCAATACAACTTGAGAATACAGTAATTCTGAACATATCAAACAATAAGCCCAACTGAAGAAGGGAAGACTATCAAACATTTTTCAATTTCCACACTGCAAACTGGCACTTTTAAGTTTTAACAGCGAGCATAACTTATTAAAAAGCAGGACCCAAATTTAACCAAAAAAAAAAAAGAGAGCTGTACCATATCTCATATGCAAATGGAAATATACATGTAAGTGGAAGACAAATTCAAAGCAAGCCGATATGCATTGAAGATTCCCAAAATCAATAATTTTAGAATTAATGAGTATATAAACATACCTCTAATTTCAAACACAATAGAGTGAGTGATGATAGTCCTACAATCCTTCAATCGAGACAACATGCAATCCACAAAATCAGGAGCAACTTCATGAGATTGAGTTAGGATCCACCATAATCAACATGAATTTGAGAAATCAAAAGAAAAGAGATTGGGAGGATAGAGAGCTAGTGAGAGCCGGCAATGATTTTTGGGAAAATTTGAGGGAAGAGGACCGAGAGAAAGTGAGTGCGGGAAAGAGATGGGTCAATGAAAAATGAAAGTTTTGGAGATGGTAGATTGGTAGAGGACCGAGAGGGAGAGTGAGGGAGAAAGACCGGCATTTGTGATTTGGGATTTGGGATTTGGGGATTTGGGAATTGGGACAATTTTGCCGGTGCTCTTAGGCGCCAATTTGGAGCATTTTTCTGTTTTCTCATGAAACAATTTGCCGCTTCTTTTCATGGATAATTTGGGATTGTTTTTCCTTCTATTAGTTGTTGAGGCACATCTCTAAAATGCCTCTACAAATATTTTCTTTATATTCTTTTATTTTCATTTTTTCTTATAAGATTTGTCCCTTATACATTATCTTTTTTTATTTAATTAATAAGTGTTAGTATGGCAAAAACTACCTAATGCCTTAATAAGTGTTTATTTGAGGCATTTACTTAATAGTGCCCTAACAAGTATGCCATAATAGGGAAATTTTCTCGTAGTGTTGGTAAAACATTGAAACTTTATAAGATGGTTGGTAAGTCCACAATAGGATGTTCCACGCATAGGCTCGGTTGTTCCTGATAGGATAAAAATTTTAAATAGGATATTAAACATGGCTGCATTTCTTAGACAATTAAAATTAGGATCTAGTTCAAAACAAGCTAATATAGTACAAAGTCATGAATATCATATGCCCGTAAATAATTCAAATTGAAATATTCCAGAAGAAAAGATAGAACATATTTATAGAATAGGCCCTTTAGATTTCAAAACAGCTTTATCTGTTAAAACTCATGAAGAGACTACTTCTATTCAAGAAGAATATCAAACTATTCCATTATTGAATCATAATACAATTCAAAAGTATCTTAGTAAAGGATATAGATATATTCATATAGGTTTAATTCAAGTTGCGGTTAAACCCTTATGTGACAGCCTCACCTCCCCCTAAGGCGAACCAAAGGGTTCGGCGGACCGCCTGCCCGACTCTCGCTGGGACTCGGTCATTCCTTAATCAAATCCGGAATACAACCAAAGGAATAACATACAACAATCCAAAACTTAAGTGAAACTTATATATACATTGCTATCTCAAAAGAAAGTACACCCATCAAATGTACAAAGGTTCTCACACTCTCTCCCCCTTAAGAAATTTCGTCCTCGAAATTTTACCTTCAGTTGCCTCAGACAAGTCCGGAACTTGTCGGTTGTCTAAAGCATAAACCTTTGCCGGTACACTAGTTCGTTTCCCTCTTTCATTCGCTTGTGATTTAGCTCCATCCAGTTGCAGAGTATTGATTTCACGTGACTGTCTCCTCAGACAGTTGCTAACTTGATGATCGCCACTTCCGCAGATTAAACATTTCCGCTCTTTTCTCCAACAATCACTTTCGGCATGATTTGCCTTTCCACAGTATCCACAGACCACCTGAGAAGCCATCTTTTGGCTTTCTTGAAAACTTTTCCCAAGTCTGATTTGGCTTCTTTTTGTAGATCCTTCATCTACCGCCCCCTAATGTCCATGGTGGACGGAGTAACGGGTTCACTTTCTGCACTTTAGGAGGTGCCATCGTTTCACTTAATTCCTCCACCACACTACCCGATGCACTCCTTTTCCGGGTCTGGGAGGCTTTTATCTGTGCCTTTGCAGTCTCGATTCTTTGAGTTTTCTCAAGGGCCTCCGTAAACGTATTCACTTGTATCGCCGCTAATGCTTCTTGGGTTTCCAAATTTAATCCCTGTATGAACCGTCTTACTCTTCACCGCTCTGTGGCCACCAATTCAGAAGCAAACTTGGATAGTTTCGTAAATTTCGTTTCATATTCGGCCACACTTAGCGTTCCCTGGCGTAGCCCAATAAACTCCTTCTCTCTCCTCTCTTGGACTAAAGGAGGGAGGTATTTCTCATTAAATTCCCTTATGAAATTCGTCCATGACCATACGGTCTGTTCTCTTTCCCATTTTGCTTTAATAACGTTCTACCATGCTCGGGCCGGTCCTTCAAATTGGAACACCGTAAAGTTTACCTGTCTTTGCTCGGTGTAGTTCAAGACTGTGAAAATATTAACCATGGCCTCTAACCATTGTTCAGCCACATCTGGATCAGGTCCTCCAAGGAATTTAGGTGGAGCAAATTTTTGAAACCGCTCCAAAGCCCTATCCTCTCCTATCTCAGGGTTCTGGGGTTGATTCACAGGTATTTGGCCTTGTTGGTCCACCAACCTTGCTAAAATATTTGCCAGTTGTTGAATTGCCGTCGCCATTTGGTCCCCGACTTCAACCCTTGGTCCCTGCTCTTGTTCAGCTACTGTTTCCATTTCTTCTCTTTTTTCTTGGGTTCGTTTATTCCCACGGCCACGTCCACGTCCACGACTACGTCTCCCGTCCATAAATATGTTTTTCCTCTCTCTTTTCTTTTCTTTTCCCCCCAAAAAGGTAATTGAGTGAATAAACACAGTAAATTGACTAAAGTAACAAATTCCAACATACCAAATACACAAATAAACATATATGCACATAACACACCATGTACCAAGAAGACAGATGATCAAATACACAAAGGCATATCAAATTAGACATATAATCGTATGCACAAATACACCAACCAATGTCATGTAATAATAATATAAGGACAAATCAAAAGAAAAGGCGATATCATCCTAGTTGCAGTTGAATAACCCTGTC